TCTAGATATTCCGAGCAGGAAAATTCCATTGTGGGCTACGATGGACACTGTTATTCCGCCAAAAACAGTAGCATTCATTGAGGTGACGTCACGAGGAGCCACCACCGATAAGACAAAATTTTATCAAAGTCAGTTGTTTGTTTTGGGGAAATCGAAGTTCAAAAAAATGTCAATGCTTGTCATGTGACCGTTTCAACAAATGAACAAAATATTTTTACTGTTAGTGACATATCTTGCTCTAATCATTTAACTCCATTATTAAGTACGAAAGACTTAGGACGAACTGACGTTTTGAAAATGACTATCAAACTTACTGACGACAAAGCAATTGTGTATAGACCTTATCGTGTATCTCATACTAAAAGGTAAGTTGTGAGAGATATTCTGAATGATCTGCTCGAGAGTGGTATGATACGTAGGTCTGAGTCTCCGTATGCTAGTCCTATCCTCTTAGTGAAGAAAAGGAATGGAGAGCAACGAATGTGTATCGATTATCGCACATTAAATGCCAAGACTATTAAAGACAGGTTTCCATTACCACGATTTGATGATTTCTTGGAGAAACTCAAAGACTGTTCGTTTTTCACAAGTTAGGATTTAGCTAGTGGATACCACCAGATATAGTCTAGGAGGCAGTGACGATTTTCGGTACTTATTTTCCCAGTCACGAAACATGGATAGAATTGTAGGGTTAGTAATTCTAATCAAAATTCATATATTTTTAGGGGTGGTTTTCCGATGGGTTGAGGCGCCAAATGCGTTAGAGCTTACGAATGCACGGCTCTTTTTTTTTGCAGTGATAAAACTAAGTCAACTAATCAGAAGTATACTGAAGTTATGTAAAAAAATAGTCCGGCTAATGTGTGAATATGGATAATATGTCTGGCAAGTGAAAAATTGAAGATCCGAAAAACTTCAGCCAGACTAACTTTCCACTACCTGAGATAAGCCAAATTGCTATGTTCATATACTTTATGTTCTATTGTAGTGAGTGTGAAATATTTATGACTGGGAAAATGAGTGTACTTGATTTTTCATTGATCTAGTGAACCCATCCGAAAATTTTTGCGAAACTCAAATATTCTTGTTTTGTATCACCTAGAGAACAAACTATTTAATATACACCAACTGGGAAAATAAGTGCTAAAAAATTTCACTGCCTCTTGGACTAATAGAGATGGACCCTGATTCTATTCAAAAAAACTGCCTTTGTGACGCCTGACGGTTCTTTCGACTACCTTCGAATGCCATTCGGCGTTGCAAATGGCCCAGCTTTATTCCAGAGAACTATAAATAAAGCATTGAGAAACATGCGGTATGGGAAAGCATTAGCATACATGGACGACATTCTTCTTCCTGTAAATAGCTTTGAAGTGGGTATCAATAACCTCAAGGACGTCCTGAAAGCATTGTCCGATGCAGGTCTTACGATGATATTATCAAAATGCCACTTTTTTATGCCCAAGATCGAATATTTGGGTCACAAAATTAGCAAGGAGGGTATTAAACCGGAAAAACGGAATACAGACGCTGTATCCAAGTTGCTATTTTCGAAAATACATTAAGAAGTACAATTCGCCTGGGGCAGTGATCTACAAGATTCTTTTGATACTCTTAAAGAAGGGTTAGTATCAAGGCCTATCCTAGCGATATATAATCCAGATCCACTGTGATGCTTCGAAGTGGGGCATAGGTGAAATATTATTACAGAGGCAACATTCTGGTTCACTTCTTCCCTGTATGTATCAATTTTTCGAGACAAACCACAAAAGATGAACTACTCTTATGAGCTCGAAACCCTAGTTGTCCTATGAACCTTGAAGAACTTTAGAGTATACTTGATTGGTATCAATTTCAAGGTAATTACTGATTCCAATGCTATAAGGAAGACATTGTGCAAGCGAGATCTCATTCCTAGAGTTGGGAGATGGCGCATGTTGATGCTTTAAGTAGAAGTGTAACAAAACGTCCTGAAAATCCTTTTTTGTTTCGTAATACAAATAATTGGCTTTTTACCCAGTTAGATTGAGTCGTCAAATTTCTGACGAAACCGTATCAAGAGCCAACGGTTATCAATCGGCTTCCGAAAGAATGAAATGACTGTGTCTTAAAACACGACTCTTAACCCCTGGTTCCTTGAAAAAATCGCATGTTGTGCGACCGATAAGACTCCCAATAGCGTCATGAAGCTGCTAATATAAACAGGCCTGTGAGCCTCCTAGATTCATTATGTTCTGTAACGAAGTGCTCGTGTTTAGTGTTGACGTTTTTCTGCTGACTCTCTCTCTCTCCGAGACCTTAGGTAATGTTTCAATTTCAAGTATTTTAATTTATTCATCATGACTGTTGTTTTCTGTCTATTATTCATTTTCTCCCCTGTGTAAATAACAAAACCGTTGGGTTAGCTTCACAAGTGAAATCTCTTTTCTAACATGTATCTTATCCTGAATAACAAGGTTGTTTTGTAAGGAGTGTGAAGTGTCGAGGATGCCTGTGACTTTTTACCCACTAAGAATTTTAACCTAGTCTTTATTTTCTGTATCTCACACAATCCTTAATTTCTCATGTAACTTGTACCATCAAGAACGCCCTATGCAGGACGCTCATTAACTTCACTCCCTATCATTCCAAGGCTCTGTATGTATTTTCATTCATTTTATTTCAGTATAAATTTGGTAATAGCTTACTGTATATTCTTTGCTTTTCTTTCACTTCCTTTCCAAGATTTACGATTTGTTCAATAAACCATTGTAAGAATTTAGTAGGAAAAACTGATTCTTTTATTTCCTTTGGAAAACCCCGAGCTAGCATTCCAACTAACTGCGGTATAGCTCAGGTAGCAAGAACCCGCACTGGAAAAGGCAATCTAATCAGATTACTAAAAAGTAGCCGTTCAAAGTAACATAGATTTTTAGGCCTTTACCAGTGCTAAAACAAAGTCTCCCTTACCCAAACGTGACAATCAGGTGGCGGTGGTAACAGAAGTCATATTCCTATTCTCGGGGGAGGTGCATCACAAATTGCTGCAAACCTTGTTAACATAGAACATGAAGACTGGGTACTCTTAGCGCAACTCAAAAACGATAGATGTGAATTCATTTTGGAAATTTTGGAAAGAGATCCTGTGGACATTGACGAGCGGAAAATCCATGGAGAATATTGCAAGATTAATAATCGTCTTTATAAACAAACAAAATAGCAATAAATGGATTGTTCCATGATCGGCACGCAGGCAAATTTTAATGCATTTTCATGACGGCGGAGGACATAATATTATAGCACTAGATAAAACGTTTTCCACTATTTCCAAGATATACTGGTTTCCAGGAATGCGGAGATATATAAAGAAATATATCATGTTTTGTTTGATATAAAGAACCTGGCGGATGTCAGCCTTGGTTCCTCCACCCTATTGAGAAAGTCTCAGAGCCATTTGATACCTGCCACCATCTGGGGCCGTTTGTAAAGTCGAAACGAAAAATTATTTACCTCGTTGTTATTGTTGAGGCATTTACAAAGTTTGTATTCATGAAGGCAGTCCAATTAACGAAGATTGGGCCACTATTGAATTTTCTAGATGAATTAGTAGCAAACTTTGGAGTACCGAGAAGGATAATTAGCGATCGAGGCTCCTGCTTTACAGCCAAAAAATTCAAGGACTTTTGCTCGAATTTAAATATTGATTATGTACTTAATACTACTCCTAGAGCGAATGGACAGGTCGAGCAGTACAAAAGGACCATATTGGCATCACTGTCTTCATCAACAGACGAAGAAGACAGATGGGACGAGCAAGTTCAGCGAGTGAGATGGGGTTAAAACACAAGTGTAAATTCGTCTACACGAACTGATTTTCGGATATCCACTGAGGGTGTTGCAAATTCAATATTGGCCAACGAGGTTGCAGTAGAATCTTCGCATGATCAGAACTTGCAGAAAACAAGAGAGTCAGTGAAAGAATTGATCCAAGAAAAGCAGAGCAAAAGCAAAGCTTAATAGGATGCTGGACGCTTTCCTAGGAAAAAGTACAAGACTGGTGACTGTGTGTTAGTCAGAACAATACAGGCTACTAATATGGGACAAAGCAAAAAGTTGTTGCCAAAATATCCAGGTCCCTATGTGATAACAAGTGTGCTGGATCATGACTGATTTATAATCGAAAACTTGAGAGGGTCTTAAAGGTCTCAGAAGAAATACAAGGGAATCGTTTCCTTGGACAAGTTTAAACCTTACAATGTGAATTTGAGCTTAGAATCTGAAGATGATTCAATAAATGATCCATGCATATAGAGAACTTATATTGGATTTACAGAAGAACTATATCTATAAAATGTGATAAATATTAAAAAGTAGTAGCTACTGAACAAAGGATTGAGCTGTGAATAGAACATAAAGGCCCATAGCCAATTAAGGTGAATGGAAACAATATCACGAACATATTGTTAACTTATAAGCAGAGCTTGATTCTTGATTAGTAGGTACCCGAATAAGAAAAAAAAGGAGGCGTAATATGGGTAGATGGTCGTTGCAGTAATGACCTATGAATTATTTGAGTTTTAGATGTGTGTATATGTGTAATGGCTGAAATAAGTATGATGTATGATGTTTTCCCTTTTTTCCCTACGTAATGATTGCTGAAATATGGATGGTTGACTGATTGTGTTAGGCTAACATGTGATATTGATATACCTATACTAATTGAATTGAATCTCAACAGGTTGCGATGGAGCTTTGAACTTCCACGAGACATGGATTGTATAGCGCGGCCGACTGTAATCTTTCTCACAAATCCGGCTGATCGTAGAAAAAAACAGGGATGACGTGTCGGCGTGCCAACCATCGATGGGCATTCGTGTCGGAAGCGAGGCAGAATCAGTTCCAGTACAGCTGTCGTCAGGACATGGTAATACCTTAATTAACCCTTATTGTTAACGTATTTTTGTTAAATAGAAGTTATTTATATTTATTTATTGATGTTATTGATTTTCTCTAATACTTACATTAGCCAATATCCAGGCAATCGGGAATGGTAAAGGAAATCGATGCCAACGCCAGCCAAAACTGAAACAAAAATGTTTTTAATTAAACGTAAAGCAGAATTTCGTTACTTTCCGAATTAGTATCAATTAAGGCTGAAAGCTTAAATGGTTTGCAAGGCAAACGTTTATTCCCTTTCAACTTGGAAAATCAAAAAAGTCTTTTGGTCTCTCGACCATCTAATAACTTAAGTTATCTCATTAAGGCGCAAGTTTACCAGAGCAATATAATTCCAGCATCTCTAAATTATTTGGTTTTTTATTGTCAATAAAAACGACATCAAGGACACTTCAGAATGAATAGCTTTAAAGAGGATGGAGAAAAGTTTGTAAAACATAATATTTAACTTCATAAAGGTACAATCAGAGATATCAATATCTACACTATACAGAGCTCAACATGCAAGAAAATACAAGTTTGGGGACAAAGCATGGAAGATTTGGGAAGAGCCAGGTAATGGATTCATGTACCAGAAAAAAAAAAAAAATATTAAAATATGTATCAAATATGAACATTTATGAAAAACAAGAACAAAACTAAAATGTCTAATGAAACTATTTTTCAACTTGAGTCATTGAAAAGCAGATGATGATACTGAAGCCTGGAAAGTATCAATTGAACGTTTCATCGGGTTCTCGTCTCCTCATCCATCTCATATATGGTCTACCTATTATTGATCTCTGCTTAGTATATGATGACGTGGTGTCCATTGTATTTGTTCTAATTTCCATTTTGCGGTTTTTCCATCTTCCTAGAAGGTGTTGTTCATGGAATTACCAGTTGTTATGAGCTGCCCTTTCGATTTATTGTCGGTTATTGTCCTTATCGACAATCCGGTTGTCATGCCCCATAAAAAGTTTTAGCGATTTTCTGCCTACAATATTTTATTTATTTTCGAGCGATAATATACTTCCGCATTTCTTTAAAACAATCCAAAGTTACTGCTTCTTCTGGGTTTTATTGGTACGAAAATAAAGGCTGCTAAAAGTTTCAATTTATTTGCGGATGTCATCAAATCCACTTCAATTTGGCTTGTGAAAAATGAAAATAAAAAAACACATCCTTGAATTTGGATAGTCGATAAAATCAGTCTCGCTACACTTGTATCGTAACAATCTCACCTCGACAATTTCGTCAAGTATTTTTGCACTTATCACGAATAATACGAAAGATATTATAACAAATCGGCGTAAAAAATCCTTTTTTTTTTTGCTTCGTAATACAAGTAATTGGTTTTTTTTACCCAGCGAGATTAAGTCGCTAAACTTCTGACGAAACCATGTCAAGAGCCAAGGGTTATCAGTCGGTTACCGAAACAGTGTGATGGCTGTGTCTCAAAACACGACTCTCGACTCCTGGTTAAATGAACAAATCGCATGTTTTGCGATCGATAAGAATCCCAAAAGCGTCATCAAGCTACCAATATAAATAGCCTCCTAGATTCATTCAGTTCTGGTGTTTAGTGTTAACGTCTTTCTGCTAATTCTGCTGACTCTTTTTCCGAGACCTTAGGTAATGTTTCAATTTCAAGTATTTTAATTTATTCGTCATGATTGTTGTTTTCTGTCTATTATCTGTTTTCTCCAACAAAACCCTTGGGTTAGCTTCACAACTCAAGTCTCTTTTCCAACATGTATCTTACCCTGAATAACAAGGCCGTTTTTACATTCCCTTGTCGAGGACGCCCGTGACTTTCTACCCATTAAGAATTATAATCTTCTCTTTATTTTCTGTGTCTATTAATCCTTAATTTCTCATGTAACTTGTACCATCAAGGAACGCCCTATACAGGACGCTCATTGATTTCACTCCCTATCATTCCAAATCTCCGAATGTATTTTCTTTCATTTCATTTCAGTAAACATTGTTAATAACTTACTGTATATTCTTTGCTTTTCTTTCATTTCTTTACCAAGATTTACCATTTGTTCAATAAACCATTGTAAGAGTTAGGTAAGAAAAACTGATTCTTCTATTTCCTTTGGAAAACCCCGAGCTAGCAATCCAACTAACTGCGTACAGCTCAGGTAGCAAGAACCCGCACTGGAAGAGGCAATCTAATCAGATTTCCAAAAAGTATCCGTTCAAAGTTACCTAGATTTTCAGTGAGACTTTAAACAAAGTCCCTGGTGGCACGCTACCGCAGTACAGAAAGGCCTTTACCAGTGCTAAAACAAAGTCTCCCTTACCCAACCGTCACAATCAGGTGGCGGTGGTAACAATATAGAGGCTAGATATAGATGATCATCATTAAAATATATCATTCAAATATATTTCAAATGTTTAAAAAATGATATTGAATTTCCTTCAGCATATCTTATAAATCACTGAAGCATACTCGCAGACCTATGTGGATATTCCTGATTACATTGGAAGAAAAATAAAATCAGCTAGGCCTTGTCAATAGCTTGAAATATCTCGTTGAGGCACATATTTAGATTTTTTTTATTGTCGATAAAAAGGACATCAAAGCCTCTTGAAAAAAACCACGTCAGCTCAAGCTTAAAGAGGAAGGAAAACCCCCTCTCAAAATGTTTACTTTGCAGAATAACTTTGGAGATAACGATTAAATCCCATAAATCAATCGGGGTTTACGTTGTATGTTGCATGTTTATTAGGAGGGTTTCCTTCAACGTTCCGTTTTCCCTAATCGAATATTTGTTAGTAATTTATATGTTTGTACAATTTTAAATGGTAAATGCGATTGAAATGTGTCATTGTAGAGCTAAACGTTAATTTAAAAACAATGCATTCGGCTGTCAGAGCCAAAAGGCCGCTCCAAATAAAAACAAACAAAACGTCCTTTTTATTTTTTTTGCGAATTTAACAAATGAGTTGATAGATTTTGAATTGCACTTGAAATCTCACATTTAAAAAAGCGAAATAGTTCTCTTTGTTTCAGCTGTATGTATACACTGTTTGGATTAAATACAATCAGCGTCAAGATAAACTAATCAATTATTTGAAACACCACAACTCTCGTTTGTAGTTCTAATTCAATTTTCTTGAAATTTTGTTCCGGAAGTTGATAACATTATGTTGTATAATGTAGTGCATTTGATCAAAGCATTAAAGTTTAAAAACTTTATAAAGCAACTTCGAAAATGTGAAATATAAAAAGAAAATGTCAAAAGTTCGACGTCGGTGTTCGTCTCGTTTTCTCGAAAGTTTCACAAAAATGATGGATTACTTCAATGCTGCTTATAGGGGTACGGGAGCTAGAAACTTTATTACAGACAGTGAAAAATGGTTAGGATTCAAATGGGAAAAACTTATTAAACTATACAAGAATTAAACTCTGTGCTCATCACCAAAATAATTCTTTGATAACGAGGGCCTAAATCAAAGTTCAGAGTTTCCAAAATTAAAATTTATCGCATCAGGCCAACGAGGCTTTTGGTTGATACGCGAGCTTTGAATAATAATACGTCGTGAAAATTTGTTCCGGGGAAAATCTGCTAAGGCTGCAGAATGTTAAAATTTTCATATAGCGCGTTGTGGCGGTGCATAAAAGAGCACAGGAAATAGCCTCCGATAATAATAAAAAAAGTGTCGTCCAAAGTACATTTAATTTTTTTGGAAAATATCTGTATATTTCTCGAGGGAAATCATTTTCTGCGAACTGTGACAGTAAATTTTTAGAAGCATTTTTTAATTTTCTCGTTGAAAAAGGTGCTTGGGAGGATGAGAGATAATAAAAACTAGAAAGAATGGGTTTATTTTAATAATAGAGCTGGTTTGCAATAATCACTGAAGGGGATCATCATATTTGCAAACTACTCCCAGTATAAAATGCCAAGCCCTGATATGAGAAATCAATCATTTTCGTTCAGTTTCTTCTAATTTTCATTATAAAACTATTTTTATGATTCCTTATTGATACTTTTATTTGAAGAAATTACGTTTATCTTGCTTTCAGCAGATAAATGTATTTCTGTCTTTCTCTAACTTCTGATTCTGAAAAGATTATTTTAACTTGATGAGCTAAGTGGTTTGGTGTTTCTAACGTAACCTTGATTTAAAACTACTTTCAACCAATGAAATTCACTCTGACTGGTGTGTGATTTCTGCAGAAACAGACCTATTTTAATTTTTGAAATAATTCTAGTGTGTTTTTATCGATTCCCATTTGATCAGGTGTTTCATTAGTGAAGTGAGCACGGTCTTTCGTGTGTGTTGAGTGTTGTCTTCTGATTGGTTCAATGGTTACTACGCAGTTAAGTATAAAAAAACACGAGACTGGTTTTCCTGCAGGGTTTTTGGTTCTAAAACGGTCTCTTCTTTGGCAGCGGCTGAGCACGCAAGTCGATTTTCACTTTGTAATTTTTTCTTCAAATTTCTAGATTTTCCCTCAATATTTTTCCGTTTAATTTCACCATCAGTGTCTATTATCACTGTTGAGTTTTATTACCTGATAAAGCTTATCTTATCTACCTTTAAAATATAAATATTAAATTTTATTTTTTTTATCTATTGTGTGCCTCCATTTTTGTGATTGGGTGCCACATTTTTTCTGAAGAGAGACAAATCAGAGTTTTGGCTAATAAATAAGTATCACTGCTTTCGTTTTCGGAATCAATTGTTAGTGTGGGATTATTGGACCATTTGCTCTAAAAAGAGTTGGTGAAAACCAAATTTGTGTGTCCATCCCTATCAACACTTTGCCTAATCCAGGCAGAGGCCTCTAAAGCTATTTATTGTTCGACTGCCTCATTCTCTTCTCGAGAAAGGAGAGTGCTGTAAGGGTAAAATTTTAGGATAGAAATTTGGATAGGTTAAAATTCATCATCAGTTTCAATTAAAACATTTCAAGAATTTTGACAGTTCCTTGGGTTTAATTTATTTCACCCTAAACTTTATCTTGTACCTTAACTTAAAATTTCTCTATTTGGGGAAAATCTGGAGATTTTTTTTTTATCTTTTTTAATTTTTATTACATTTTTTTTAAATTTTTGCCTGTTTAGCGCGACTTTATTTTTATCTTTAATCTTGCTGTATACCCACTTACCTAATTATTACTACTT